GCTCACATCTGCAGGGAGCTTGTGGATTTTCCAGCAGAAACCAAGCTGGTCTCCGGGCTGTCCTTGCAGGGCTGCCCTTGCTAGGTCTGTTGAGTTCTCTGGGTTCCCAAGGTGAGGAGGGGACCAGCCTCTCCACTGCCCACTGCAGACCAGACTGGCTGGTCTTCCAGCGCCTGGGCGGGGAGGCCCGCTGGAGCCAGAGCATGTGGGTCTCAGCCAAATTTTGCAAGAAAACTTTTGCAGGCTGCTGACCTTCTGCAGCTGTTTTATAGGCCCTGTGGAATGAAAGGGGAAGTTTGGCTGTATTTAGAAAGTTGTGTACAAAGAGGAATGGCGGGGGTGGGAGCAGGGTGAGGCGGGTGGCTGGGTGGGGGCCTAGGGAGGAGGCAGGCGGTTCAGGAGGGCTTCCAGCAGGGGCCAGAGGACAAAGGCTTGATTTGGGTCCACATGTTGTCACTTTAGAAATGCCTGGGGTTGGAAGATGGGGGTAAAGCTGGGGATGGGGGGAGGGAGAGGCGATAGGGAAGAAGAAGGGGAAGGGAGAAAGAGAAAGGGGGAGAGAAAGTTCCTAGCTAAGGATCCTGGCTTTTTGTTAAGCTGAAAGCAAATGCTGAATGTACTGGGAGCTTGTCTACCACTCCAGAGGCTCCACTTGTGATAGGGACAGAGAGAAGGGAGACGATGGCCCAGCCCTGGGTTAGGAGCTAAAGGAGCAACTTGAGTCTCCCCCAAGGTAGGCAGAGAGTCCTATGGTGTCTCGGTTGGGTCACAATAACACCCACTGCCGGTGCACACGGGTGACTCATGAACAGCCGTTGCAGGGTCCAGAATCCCAAGAGCAAGTCTCCAGCTAAGTGTGTGGTGAGGGGTGGCCAGCTCCCTGTACCTGGGGCTTTCTTCCTCTACTCTATGTTAGGCAAGGAGCAAGGGATTGATCTCAGGCCTCAAGCTGCCTCACTTATGGATCACTACTCCTGTGACAAGGGCTCCATACTCAGGAACTTACTACCTCTTGAGGGCTGTACTCCAAAGCCCATGAACTTGGGGGTGAAGATTTCAGCATGTGAAATTTGGAGGGACATAAGCCCCAGGCAACCTGGAGTGTCCTATCCCTAGGATCAGAAGCATGCTCAACTCTTCCCTAGGCTGACTCAGGGCTCAGGGGACAATGGCAGTGGCAGAAAGACTAGAGAGGCCCCTAGCCCTGATGTCACAGGCCCGAAGGAGTCAGAGAGCTTGATGAAGGAGCCCTGAGCCTCAGGTTCCTGGGTTCCTCGCCTACTGGGAGATGTAGCCTCTGCCGTACTGATGCACCCTGGCCCCAAGTGTGGAGGACCTCCTCGGTGACTCCCCTTGAAGGAAGAGCAATTGTCTCCATTTTAGCTGAGCTTGACCCCATTTTCACATACAGACATGTACAAAGCTGGCCAGGACTTTTCCTTATCCCTTCCACTGGCTCTAAGCAGTGCACGTCCATTCAACTGAGGTGCTGGTAGTAATCTCTGAAGGCAGCAGGCATGTTTCCCCGGAACCCCCACCTGCTGCTCCCTAGTGTGACCTGGACAGAGACAGGACAAAGAGCCAATGCTCCACAGTAGTGGCGGGAATCAGCCTTGAGACAGAAGCTATGACTTCCTGGGGCTTGAAGGATCATGCATCAGCACTTGAGCACTGACCCCAAAGCACCAGATGCTACCTCCGCTGTGTCATGCGGGTCACTCTGCTGCGGATCCTTCTCTCTGCACACTGCAGAGGTGAGCGCGGCCTCCTGCCCAGCCCAGCTCACGGCACTCACCTACTTCCCGCCGTTCTCACAGGCACTCATCCCCAAGCTACTCCTCCTTCATGAATGAATAAAACCCGAGTTCATCCCTGGATTGAGGCTTTTGTTCCAGATAGGCATCAGCATGGCTGGAGTTAGGACCCCTTAGCTCCCCCAAACCATCTCAGTGTCTTTATTCTCACCATGGGTTGCACTGGGTATAGTAGATTGGAATTAACTCGATGAGATTCCAATAATTTAGCCATGGGATTACAAATATAAACTTCCCGGACTGAGAGGAGGACCAGGAAGGGCTTGCTATACCAAGCAGAGGAGGAAATGGAGCTTCTGCTGCCCTCTGGGCCACCCCTCCTGCCTGGGCCACCTGCCTGTGTCCCTCAGGAACCGGCGCCTGCAGGACACTACTCTCTGCTAACCTCATGCCAGATCCAGCCTCGTACCTACACATGGGATGAAGTGACAGGCAGGAGCCCTGAGCCACCAGAGTGTCTTTCTGCAAAGCTGCTCTTCCCCAGGCAAGTGATCAGGACAAGAAGATGCCATCCTCATATCGGTCATGTTATAGGGGCCCAGAGAGGGTACTGCTTCCTTTCTATGGGACATGGTAGCATCAGTAGCCAGAGGGACCAGGAATTGGGGGGGGGCATGAGGGGGCTGCATCGGTTCTGCCTCAGAGGCTGAGCCCTGAAGTGCAGGTCCTGGAGAGCATGTTCTGTGTGTCCTTGGGAAGCAGGCTGCTCGACTACAAACCCATGCAGCCCAACTCAGCAGGGCCCTGTGCATCCTGCTATTTATGAGTAGTAAGTACTGACTATATGTCAACCACTGGTAGGTATAGAGCACAGCTCCTGCTGCATGGAGCTCCTAGCCTCTGTCTCTCTGAAAGGGTCATGGATGCCCAGGGGCTCAGTGGGACTAAGGTAATCTCTTCCTGCTGTGATTTCCCCAGGGAGACAAGACTCGCACACGGGACACGCGGAGAATGAGACAGTGATTAATTAGTGAGTCTGCTGCTGACTCTGGGAAGCACCTGGCCAGGTTCAGGCTGCCTGCACACGTAAGTGCTCTGGGTAGACGTCTGCTTAGGCCCACCATCTCTGCTTCGTGGAAGGATGAAGGATTGGATTAAATGGGCCTGGTAATTAACCAATCTTTTTTTTTTTTTTTTTTTTTGACTGGGGATTGAACTCAGGCCCTTGCACTTGCCAGGGAAACACTTATTCCACTGAGCCATCTCCCTGGCCCCTAATTAACCAATCTTAAGTAAAAAATACATCAGCTCTAGCTGGAGGTGGTGGTCCCCACTCTTATAATCCCAGCACTCTGGGAGGCTGAGGCGGGAGGATTGGGAGTTCAAGAACAGCCTGGGCCACTTAGCAACTTATTGAGACTGACTCAAAACCAGGGGTGAGTGGTTGGGAATGTAGCTCAGTACAAAAGCCCTGGGTTTAACCTCCAGTATCACAAATAAGAAGGAGGAAGAGAGAGAGAAAGGGAAGGGAAATGGGGAACTGATCAGCTTTGACAAAAGCATACTGGGTTAGAAAGTCTGGTGCACACTCCGCCATCTTTCTGGGTCCTTCTGCCCCCTGGCTACCCACTTCTCTTACTCCACATTCCTCCCTCAGAGCTGGAAGCCTTCCACATGCCTGGATTTGGGCTTAGGCAGATGTCTACCCCTGACAAAGCACAGTGCTAGCTGCAGTGGGTGGGAGAGGAAAATGACAGAGGCCTTTCCCAGAAGAACCTTCACCCCAACGTGGGCTCATAACTGTCACACAGAAGACAGTGGAAGACACCTGTGAGTGGGGGCTGGGGTAATAGGAGCCCTGGCCCCATTCCTGGGTATAGGTACTGGAACACTGTGGCTATGGGGTGTGTGTGTGTGTGTGTGTGTAACTGTACACTGTTGCTTTTTTAAAAAATTTCAGACTTTAGAAAAGTTGTAAGAGGGGCTGGCAAGATCGCCCAGTGGACTAAAGCACCCGCTTAGGCAAGTGCAAGGACTTCAGTTCAATCCCCAGGACCATAGGCCGTACCAGTCCCACCCCAGGTTGGGCTGAGCTGGCCAGAGTCTGGGTGTGGTGGCACATGCCTGTAATCCCAGCGCTGGGGAGGCTGAAAGCAGGAGGATCCCCACAAGTCTGAGCTATGTGGTGAGACCATACAACAACCAAATTAAAAGAAAGAAAGAAAGAAAGAAAGAAAGAAAGAAAGAAAGAAAGAAAGAAAGAAAGAAAGAAAGAAAGAAAGAGGGGGCCTGCCCCTTAGCTCAGTTAAGTGGCTGCTTCAACAAAGCAGTCAGGCTCAGGTTGCTGTGGTTCGATCCCCACAACTCAAGCCAGCCAAACCTGCCCTGAAGGCATTAGGAGCAAAAAAAAAGAAAGAAAAGTTGTAAGAGTACTATAAGAAATGCCTATATATTATTTTCCCGCTTTCACCAATTATTTACAACAGGAAAGATTAGCCATCCTTTGCCCTTCCCCCTTCCCACCTTCTCTGTACATTTCAAGCACATTCTTTTACACTGTCTGGTTTCCTTTTAGCTGAGCCTTAGTCTTCACATTGCCAGACACTACTGGATTATTCTAGATCTTACACAAAGTTTACTTAATGGGAGACAGATTATTTTTTGCTTGATGTTACTCTGGTGGCCAGGCCATTAGGGGCTGCCCGGGACCCAGGGCACCTCCAGGAACACTGCTGGCTTTGGGGCCATGCTTGAGTCTGCTTGTCACTGGGCAGTTGTTCTGCCCCCTTGGAAGCAGGGCTGGCCTTGCCTGAGCTCCATGTCACTGTATTTTCCTTCACTTTGTTGGGGTTTCCTATACATTTTCTCACCCACAAATGGGAACCTCGCACAATACAGGCTTTGCAGTGTCCAGCATGGCGTGGAGGAAGCAAAAGTGAGCTCGGATGGACCCTTCTCTGGGCCTTGGAGACCAGCCTGGGCCCCTGAGAAACCCAGCGGCTTCCTGCCTCTGACTTGCGAGCAGGAGTGAGGCTCGATGGCCGCCGTCCGGCTCTGAGGCCTAGGCCCTGCTCAGGACTGGCAGTCTTCGGCAGAGGGAACATTTTCCAGAGTACAGCTGAGGGACAGAACGTCTCAGCGAGGTGGGCGGGGCTGGGCAGTGTTCTGGAAAAGCCCTGCTTGTTTTGGGAGGTGTTCAGGAGGCTGAGGTTTGGGAATCCGCGGCGGCACTTTTACAATTGCACCCAGCCTTGGGAGGAGGAGTGGGCAGTGCCTAATGCCTTGGGGTCAGAGGCAAAGGTGAGCACAGCCCTGCCAGCCTGAGCTCTGGGCCTCTCACGGGTTTGGGAGGATGCTGGGCTTTGAAGAGGAAGCAGGCCAGAGGAGCTGGCCCTGGAGGGCTGAGCTCTCTAACCCCACCAGCCTTGGCCGTGGGGCCTGCACTAGGGGGCCCCTTAGGAAGCAGTGAGAGACCCCAGGGCACCAGGCCCTGCTGAGGCACTTACCCAGGCACACTGGCCTCACTGCAAGGGGAATCCAGGGAAGGGGGGCTCAGGCCAGGCCAAACAAGGCTCAGGGAGTGCGGGAAGCTTGGCCTCCTTTCTACGAACTTCACTGCCTTGTGCTTTGCTTTTGTGCATGATCTGCAGGCCTGGGGGCCACGTCCAGAACTGCCCTGTGGTCTTGGGCAAATTAGTTGGCCCCAAGGCCTGTGGTCACCTTGTGGGTGAACTGGGAAGCAGAGCACCTGAGCCACCTCTGGGCGAGCCCAGCGATCGAGAGCTACAGGGCTTCCAAGGGCTTAGCTGCGGGGGCCTGGGTCCAGGGCCCATTCTGAGAGCCTCGATCTTGTGGGAGAGGCCCGGGCCTGGTCAGGTAAGGTCTGAGCAGGTACTGGCTATCTTTGGAGTGGAAGGTAAGGCAGTTGCCACACGGGAACCCCTGGTTACAGGGCACAGACCTAGGCGACCCAGGCCCTTTTTCCTGGCGTTGTCTTTCCTGGCACAGGTGGAGGCTCCGGCCGGCCTAAGCCAGGCCCCTCAGTGTCACGTTGCTATTTATTTCATGGCGCCGCTCCTAGGGCCCTGGGAGCGCCGCGCACGCGGTCCTCGCTGTCACCCGCGCAGGCTGAGACGGAGCCCCTGTCTCATTCTCCCACAGAGCTGACGTTGCCCTGCGGCCCAGCTGGCTGCGGTTTTCAGCAATAACAATATCCCGGGGGAGGAGCGGTGGGTGAATGGGCGCTTTGTCCCTAGGCCTGTGAAGCCCGATTAATTATGCGCTGCTGAGCGAGGGCCGCGGCCGCCGGCTCCGCACCGCCGCACAAAGCGCCGCGAACCAGGAGAAGCGCGATCGCCCGCGCTCCGCAGTCGCCCTTGTCTGGTTGACACCCGGCGCGCCCCTCCCGGGCGGGTGGCTGTACTCAGAGGATTTTCCAGACCTTTCCTGGTTACCAGGGACGACTGCGCTGGGGGGCAGCGCCAAGGGTCCAGGGGATGGTGTGTGAGAGGCGGGGAGCCCTGGGGAGGAGGGGCGGGGTGTCGCCCTTGGAGATGGGGGGCGGGGGCTCCCGCTGGGGCTGGGGGCCTGGTTGGAGCGCAGGCGCCTAGAGGCGGTTTGGGGTGCCCGCTTGGACCAAATGCATCGATCTCAAGTGTACATCCTGATAAGTGTGCATCCCCCTGTGGTTCACACACAGCCGCCCCTGTTGGTTCACACTTGTACTCTTGGCACTCCCGAAGGTCGAGGCAGAAGGGTTCCAAGTTCTAATCCAGCCTGCAATTTAATAATTTAGCGAGACCTTGACTCAAAAATTATAGATTAAAAAAGTGTTAGGAATATAGCTCAGTGCAAAAGGCCTGTGTTCAGTTCCCAGTACTGGGGAAAAGTGTGTGTGTGTGTGTGTACCAGCAATTTGATGTGACTAAAAAAAAAAAAAAAAAAACTAGGGTGAATGTTAAGATTTTATTTATTTATTTATGAAGCACTGGCGATTGAACTCAGGACCTTGCACTTGCCAAGCAAGCACTTATTCCACCGAGCCATCTCACCAGCCCCAAAGTTTTAAAATTTATTACAGTAGTCAGGTGTTTTGGTACATGCTTGTATTCCCAGCACTCAGGAGACTGAGGAGAGAGGATTGCCAAGGGCTCGAGGCCAGCCTGGGCTACTTAGTGAGACCTTGTTCCAACCCCAGCCCCAAAATTTTACAATAAATTATACATTGCCATTAACCTTCCCCAAAATACAGTCTCTCACTTTGAACATACTTGTTCCAGCCACTTTCTGAAGCAGTTCTGGAAGTCCTCTTTCCTGAGTATTTGTATTTGTGCTATCCTAGTTACCTCTATGGCTTGAATCAATCCAAAACTTTTACCTTTCATGGTCATTTTAACTCCTCCCCTGCCAACCAGGGATTGAACTCAGGCCCTTGCGCTTGCCAGGGAAGCACTTATTCTACTGAGCCATCTCCCTGGCCCCTCATTTTAACTTTGGGGAAGAGCTGGAAGTTACAGGGCACCAGATCCAGTGAATAAGGTGGGAGGGACGCATTCTAATGTTTTTATTTTACAGGAATTGCCATTAGCATCTTTAATCAATTCAGGCTGTCCAGGCAGCCACACAATAAACCCCAAAACAAGACCTAACAGTGAGATGGTGATTTTATTTTTTTAAAATTTTTTTATTTATTATTTATTTATTTTGTGTGTGTGTGTGTGTGTGTGTGTGTGTGGCCAGCTCAGCCCACCAGGGGGTGGGGCTGGCTGGCATGTGGTGCTGGGGGATTGAACCGTGGTCCCTGTGCTTTGCTTAGCTTAGCTTGTTCTAAGTAGATGCTTTAGACCACTGAGCCATCTCACCAGCCCCGAGATGGTGATTTTATAGACATCTCTTTTGTGAACATGTGTGGTGTCTTTGGGTACTTAGCTGTGGAGGTGCCAGGGCGGGAAGGTATGTAGTAGTTTTAAGAGATAACTGCCAGCCTCCTTTTTTTTTTTTTTTTTTGCCTGGGGAACCAGGGATTGAACTCAGGCCCTGTGCCTGCCAGGGAAGCACTTATTCTACTGAGCCATCTCCCTGGCCCCCCAGCATCCTTTCTAAAACAGCTCTATGCGCTGCAGCTTGTGCCCGTAAAGGAGGTGCAGGTGCATTCCCATTCTGTGTCCTGTCAGCTCTGGGTGTTGTCCATCTTGTCAGATTTTAGCTGTTCTGGTGGGTGTGAGGTGGTGCCTCACCATGGCTTTTGGGTGGGTGGTTTTAACGCTTGGGTGCACTGATCCTTGGAGTGAGCTCCTCACCTGGCAGGTCCAGCAGGGAAAGTGGCCTCCCTGAGGCCCACAGCTGCTTGGCAGAGGTGAAGGGAGGACAGAGGCTTCTGAACCGTGCAGCATGCGCTCTCTCCCCAGTGTCTGCCGCTCCTTTGGCTGACAGCCCTTAGGCCTGTGTGTGTGAAGAGCCTGGGGCCAGCTCTGGCCAGGAACACTCAGGATGTACCTGGAGGGGGCTATGGAAGAAGCCCTTACCACCCAAGTAGCAGCATTCATGGGGACTGGATCCAGGGAAGGCGCCCAGCCTGTGTGTGTTTGTGTGTGTGTGCTGCACACTTGTGTGCATAGGGATAAGGGCAGCGGACTGTGGCTAGCCAGCCTTGACACTCTCCATAAAGAGAGCCTTGGAAATTTTCTTTTTGCCTTTGGGCAGTACTAGAGATTGAACCCAGGGCTGTTGTACTGAGGTACATTCCTAGCCCCATTCAGCCCTTTAAAATTGTTTATTTCAAGACAGGGTTTTACTAAGTGATTACATTACTTGGGTTGGGCTTGAAATCAACATCTTCCTGCCTCAGCCTCTCAGTGTCCCAGCGTGCTGGGATGACAGGTGTGTGCCACCAGACGTGGCTCCTTGGGGATTTTCTGATTGAACCCAGAGGGATTCCAGGAGATGAAAATAAGGATTCCTGAGGCTTCTAATGTCCTTTTTTCTCTACACAGTTTCCTAAGCGTGGTTTTTTAGACCTTCAGAATCAGCCTGACCTGACTGTATAGCTGTGTGTTTGGCTGCCTTCATCTATGTGTCGCCAGCCAGTAAGAGTCCACTCCTGTCCGTCATTTTTTTCCTCTGCCCTCTTCATCTCTATTGACACAGCCACTAAGATCGTACTTGCTAAAACTGGTCACACCAGCACGTATAGCCCAACCCATACACTCTTCCTGCAACTACACTGAACCCTTGAGAACATCAGTCTGTGTTTCCTGCTATCAAATCTGGGCCAGGGCTTTGTAACTGCTCTGAGCAATGGAATGGCAGAAGTGATGACATTTGATGCCAAGTCACAGAGAACATATAGCTTCCACTAGCCCTCTAGCTTTTGGGATCCTTATTCCGGGAACCACACTAAGGGAGAGCCCCACATGGAGAAGCAAGGCCCCCACTTGTAGCCAGTCCCAGCCACGAGTGGTGCCGAATGAACCCCAACTCACGGTGACTCCGAGCTTCCCTGCTTCCAGCTCAGACCAAGGCCACAGAGTGCAGAGACGGCCCTTCCTGTGTACCAGCAGTAGGACCGTTCGTTATGAGGCTGTCATGGCCAGGATGCACAAAATGATTCTTTTATCCTCTTAGTGTTAATTCCTGTGCCCCTCACCCACTCCCAGTTTGAAGCTTGGCCGAGCTCCTTCTGGTTCCTCTTGCCATCATATCCCCCTGGGAGCACTGGGTCACCTGCCCCTGCACCAAGCCGGAAGCTACTCCCTTGTGCCCCAGGCACCTGCCCACCCTTTTCCACCAGCTACCTTGCCCACTACCTTTATCCTTCTATACTTGCCTCCCCCGTGAAAAGTTCGGCTTGAGAGCCGGTCCAGTCAGTGTTTACTTTCTGGGTTCCTAAGGATCTGGGCAAACACTACTGCCCAGTGCACAGAGCAGGAAGTGACGTGCCTGCACCCCATAGGAATCGTGTCTCTGACGATCAGCTCAGCACCCACACTCTGTGGGAAGGTCATTGGTTGGCTGTGGGTCCTTCTGGGAATGACAAATCCTTCTCCTTTCCTCTGGGAAGCACCCTCATACTCTAGGCTGATCAGATTCCTCCTCTCAAGATGTTAGAAGTCTGAGGCGGGCACAAGCCAGAGCTGCTGGGGTGGACGACTTTACAGGGCATGCTCTGGAGAGGCGACTCCTTTATTGCAGCTGCAGAGTCCCCCGGAACCACTATGGTCCTGGACTTTCCCTCTTCCTGAAATTTCATAAATTCATTATTGTCATCTGGCAAGATCAATTTTTATGACTTGTCCTGTGGAGTCAGTTAGTATATTATTTTGTTATCTTCTAGCCTTCCTCTAGTGCTCTCTTTATTGAGTTAGAAAAAGGGACTCCCTCTCTGGGGTGATAAAATAGCAAAAGCTGCCCTGCAGACATAGCCCCCTCACCAGGGTGACAGTTTGGCCGGTGCAATGTGGGGCTGGGTTGCAGGTCCCCTTTCACTCCTGTTCCTGACCAGGGTCCTTCGTGTAGTGCAGATTGGGGAACCCTCCATGACAGCCCCGCCTGCCTACGACTTGTCCCCTTGCTGGTCTCCTCTCCATCCAGGGCCATCAGAACGCAAGACTTGTTCCAGACACAATCTAATGGCAATGCAGGTCTGTCACTCAAGCCCCACTCATGATTGTGGTGCTCATGTCAACGACAGGATTTTTAGTCTCTGTGGGTAGAAATCTGTTCAGTCAAACTTCAAAGGAAATGTAGGAAAACTCCACGGCTTAGCCTCAGGAGCTGCAGCTTCTAGTGAGTAATCCGAGATGTTAGAGGACACCTTCCTCCAAATGATCCAGTAGACATTCTTCCTTTTGGCAATGCTGAGGACTGAACCCAGAGCCTCTCACAAGTGAGGCAAGTGCTGCGCCAGACACGTGCCTGGCCAGGGTAGACATTCTTGAAATAGCCGAGGGGACTTCTGCTGTGGAGATAAAGCTAGGGCAAAGGTGCAGGCATGGGCCCAGGAGCTAGCTGATAAGGACAGGGCTGCAGGCCTCAGTGTAGGAAACCACCGTCAAGGTGCAGCTGGCCCCAGGGAAGATTCCCAGGAGGAAAAGAGGCCACAGCAAAGGCAGGCAGCCTCTGCACTCAAGAAGGCCTTGAGGTCAGTGACTTCCACAACTTTTCTGAGAAAGCAGAGAGGAGCAGGTCACATTGGACCACCTGTGTCTGCAGTCACAGGAGGCAGGTGAGGAAGTGGGCGTGGCTCAGGGGTGGAGCTCCTGCCTGGCAACTGTAGCCCTGGCTTCTATCACCAGCAATAAAGAAGGAGGTGGAGCTAAGGAAGAGAAGGGAGAGGATGGAGAGATGGAAGAGGAAGGGAGAGGAAGGAGGAAGAAGAGGAGGATGAAAAGGAGAAGACAGGAGAGGGGCAAAGGAGAAAAGGAGAAAAAGGGAGAGGAGGAGGAATAAGAGGAGGAGAAAGGCAGGAGGCAGTGTAGATTAATTTGGAACTGGAATGCCAACATCCAGATCTCGATGCTGTCACCTTTTGGCTGAGGGACCTGGGGGTATCACTTAGCTTCTTACATGTCTTAAACCTGAACACGATCTATGACCCTGCTTGGGTCAAGAATTGAGGTTGCCTGTTGGAACCTTGGTGGGGACTTGGCTGTGCCAGCCATGGCAGCCAAGGTGACACCATGTGGCTTCCCAGATCAGGTCAGAAAGACCCACACAGCCTTTGATGGTTCCCTTTGGGACCCGCAGGCTGGGTACCTGCCGCCTGGACAGGAATCCTCTTTCTCTGAGGCAGTGTGGTATAGAGGAAGCGCATGCAGTTCCACAAAGTGGGAGACACCCCAGCAGCCCTAGCAGGCAGCCCCAGACGTGAGTGCCCTCCTCAGCAGGACCAGACACAGGGGCCAGATGGGTGAGGAAGCACTGGGGCTGACTACAGCCCCCTGAGGGCCACAAACTGATGAGAGGACCGATGGGAGTTCTGGGGGGAGCTGTTAGTCCCGGCCAACTCCAAGATGCATAGGCTAAATTAATGACAGTTATGGTTTAAAAAAATATATATATTTATTTATTTATTTATTTAGTTTTGAGACAGGGTCTTGCTATGCAGTTCAGGCTGGCCTAGAGCTCATGGTGATTTTCTGCCTCAGCCTTCTGGGTGCTGGTTACAGGCCTTGGCCATCTCGCCCAGCTACTGCATTGTTTTGGGCTGGTTTGCTATGACACATTAGACAGCTGGTGCAGACATTCTTGTTCTCTGGAAGTAGACTGTCATAACAAACCTAATCACAGTTGTGAGTCTGGGAGGTGGGCAGAAATCCTAAAGCCTTCGAAGCCTGCTGGCCTGTGAGGAAGCTGCTCTTGAGGGCTTAAAGGCAAGTGAAGAAAATATTGTTGGAATCAGGGGAAAGAGGATCTCTTTACGAGTGAAGGAAGTTTAGTAACACTGTCCCTTGAAGTGATGACACCAGAATAGTACTTCATTATTTAATGGTTTGGGCTAAAGAGAATTTTAAGCAGGCTTTGGAAGCATCAACTGGATTACTGCATATGATAAGGAGAGAGAAAGATGGATTAAAGAGAAAACTTTACAGCAAAATTTATAGAAAGCAGAAACGAGTCAAGGATTTGCTGGGTTTGAAAATAAATCTGTTTGTTACTCATAGGCTCCACACATGGGGAAAAAAGGCATCAGGACAAAGCCAAAACTCAGCATGAAATGATTAGAGCTTTGTCAGGACCTCAAAAAGAGTATTTCATGAAGTCATTCAGGTAGGCAAAGGCCCTCTAAGTTGTTCATGAGCGTGAGTCACAGACTGTCTTTGTTAGATATTAAGGACTTCTAAGAACTATAAGGGAAATGTCTGTCCTTCAGCAGCCTCACAAGGACATGGGGTACAGATAGGCTCATGTAGATGGAACTTTTTTTTTTTTTTTTGAGATACTGTATAGTTCAGATCAGCCTTGAACTCACTATGTAGTCCAGGCTATCCTTGAACTCACAGTGATCCTCCTGCCTTAGCCTCCCAAGAGTTGGATTCCAGGCAGGCACTATAATACTTGGCTAGTGAGGAAACTTTTGACTAATGGAATGAATTCCAATGGCATCCATAGGAAAATACAGCAATATGTTAAGTAGAATTATATGGCCCAAAGCACCACCAGCTTGGACTAATAGGAATGGACTAGATCAAAGAAGGCCTCTGGACACCCAAGTTCTGTTGGAAGAAGCAAGTGCAAAAGTCTACTTGGCTTTGATACTGGCCATATGTTATAGAAAAGGAAGGATGATTCAGAAGGGGGAATTAGAAGCCCAGAGCATGCAGAGGTTTGTGGAGCCATACAATGGAGGCGCATGTGCCTACCGCTGGAAGCATGACAATATGTCCCCGCTCTAAGTAGGCACCATCTGCAGGTCGCCCTTTCCCCAGCCTCTTCCTCTTGCTGGACTCCGTGCTGCACCCTTAACTGGGAAGTAGCTATGCAGAAGGCCCTAGCCACTGCCTGAGCTGACCGCACTGCCCACTTGGCCGAGGCTGAGTGCCAGCGTACTCTGTTCCTCAGATGGCAGAATGGCTCAGATGCCCCTGGGTGCTGGTGAGTGGGCAGCATTCTCATTTCAACCCCCTTAGACCCAGGGCGGAATCAGTGACAGAAGCTCATCCTCAGCATGCCAGGTCTGGAGGGACAGCAGAATGGGTGGGCACCAAGGGTGTCTGGGCTGGGCTGACCTCAAGGGCTGGAGCTGCCCACAGCTCCGCTGTTCAGGTCGAGGAGCCACAGGCCCCTCGGGGTTTTCATTTTCTGTCCTGCAGCTGTTGGTTCATCTCAACAGGAAACAGCAGGCTCCGCATTCCAGAGGTTTTAGTCATTTTTTCTTTCAGAGCTCTGGGGCTGGGATTAGAACGTTCTTCTAACCACACTGTCCTCGGCTGGACTCCCAAGAGGAAGTGGCTGGGTCCCTGGGGGAAAGGACACAGGCCTCCATTCAAGGCCGGACCACAGAAAGAGCAAGGCCAGCTCGAGCAGTATGTGAGCCTAAAGAGGGGTGGGTGTGGCCCAGGGCCAGAGATGAGGCACGGGGTGGAGGATCCTGCCTGCCCCAGCTCTGGGCTGAGGGGACCTGTGTGTGTGTGTGTGTGTGTGTGTGTGTGTGTGTGCCTATGCACGTGTGTGCATGTGTACATGGGTGTGCATGTGTGGTGGGGACAGAACAGGGTCACAGAACTGCATCCCAATGGACCACACCCCTTGCCTTGGCGCTGCTTGCTGCTCTGGGAATCAGGCACTGAGACGGCAGGAGGTGACAGACACTCAGGTCTGGGGCAGGGAGTGGAGAACTTTCACGAGTGGAACCACCCATATTTGAGCTAGAGAAAACCCAGAAGAGGTTTGAAGGATTTTTTTTTTTTTTTTTCGACTCAGGGCAGGTCTGGTAAGGCATGAGGATCTGGGGCTCGCCACAGTATCCTGAGCCTGACTGCCTTTGCTTAAGCAGGCACTTAAACAACTGAGCTAATGGGCAGGCCACCCCCCAGCAGAGGTTTGATAGAGGGTCTTGCTGCATGCCTGGTACCTGGCTGAGCATTGGGAGTACAGAGCAAATGGGACAGACTCCATCCCAGCTGTCACCTGAGGACCTGGGAGCTGTGACCCAGCAGGTGCTGCAGGGGCCAATGGGCAGAGTATAGGTGTGCAGGAAGGGGGTAGAGGAGAGTACAGGCTCCTGCCAGTAGGTGTGCAGGGAAGGAAGGCCAAGGCCCAGGCAGGAACCTCTGGGAGGGGCGGAGTGACAGCAGACGGAGCTGCCATCTCAGGCCTGAAGAGCTCCAGAGGCCTGGGAGAAAGGAGGCAGGAGGACGGGGCAGAGGGGCAGCGGTCGGAGGAGTTCACCCAGCAATGTACCCCATGTCGCTGAGCTTCTGGGACACAAAGAAGAAAGTCTACAGTGAGAGTCCGAATTTAGAGATGACAAAGTGCTTCTGCTCCTTGTAAGGTGGGCAGAGTTCTGACTATAGGCCCTCGAGAGCTCCCATCTCCATCCCAGAGTGGGGGACCAATGTCAAACCTATGATTCTGTAACACTGTATGGCAAAGGGAGTTGAAACATAGGTGAGGGGCCAGGGAGATAGCTCAATAGAATAAGCGCTTGCCTGGCAAGCGCAAGAGCCTGAGTTCACTCTCCAGTTCTGCAAAAGGAAAAAAAAAAGAAGAAAACATAGGTGAAATTGTGATAGCCAGACATGGTGGTGCATGCCTGTAATCCCAGCTATGCCAGAGGCAGAGGCAGGAGGATGACAAGCTCCAGGACTCTGCAGAGAGAGCCCATGAGCTCACTGAAAGGAGGTGGTCTGGTAGGTGGGCTGAACCTATTTCATGAGCAGAGTTTTCTCAGTGGCAGGACAGAAAGACTTTGACTTGAAGCATGAGGGCAATTTCAGTTTACCTTTGATAGCTCAGAGATGGAGGGCACCGTGTGGAGAGACCTGAGGGTGGGCAGCTTCTAGGAGTTGACGGAGATGCCCGGCTGAGAGCCAGTGGGAAGGCACAGGCTTCAGGCCTACAGCCACAGGAGCAGATTCTGTTGCAACCTGGACGCTCAGGGGAGCAGGTTCTCCACCAGTGAGCTCACGCCTTGATTCGGGGCCTGTGACGTCCAGGTGGGGAATCTAGCTAAGCCCACCTGTACTTCTGACCAGCAGAGCTGTGACATAATAAACAGCTGTTGTTTTAAGCTGCTGTTTTAACTTTATGGCAATTTGCTCTGCAGCAGCAGAAAGCGATTACACTCTCACTATTGCACTGCACCCCAAGAAGCGCAGCGGTGCCTCTCACTGTGCCACTGAGGCAGTGGGCGTGGGCTTCATAGTCTGCAGAGGGGGGCTCAGGCCTGGGGCCCTGCTGGTTCCAGGCTCTTTGCATTGCTAGCACTGCTCCCCCTCCACCAGCCCTGAACGAGCGCACCGCAGACACTTCGTTGGCCAAGGGTGTCTCATCCCTTACCCAGGGTGAGGCCTGCGTCTTGTTCCTTTACCTGAGAACCAAGCCCGCTGCTCCCAGCCACAGCCTGCAGGGTGTAAAGGAAAGAGCTGTGCTCTGGGCCGTGACCTCAGCCTCTCCCTCCCATTTGGATGACAAATCTGGATTCTGTGAAGGCAAGAGACAGGAACTGGGGTCCAGGGCAGTGACGTTCAGCCCCTCCCCCGCCCCACAAAAGCTGCTCTTGTCGGATGGGGATGTTTAAAATGGTTCACTTGCTTCCTTAACAATTCACCAGCCCCTAGTCAGGGCCTCCTGGGAGCCCAGAATAGTCTGCGAGGAGGAAGGTCTCTGTGTGTTTCTACTTCCCTGATTAAACAGCCCTAAGGAAGTTTTCTTGTTTCCACATAAGGCTTTAGTCCAGGTGTCTCACCCCAGCCCCCTCCAGGACAGTGCACCAGAAAGCCCAAGGGTTTTGTGTTTGCCAGACCTGGGACTCAGGTGCTGGGGATCTAGCTCAGTGGCATAAGCGCCTGCTTGGCAGAGCTGTGACTCAGCTCTGTCACTTACCACTGAGTGGAGGGACAGATGACCATCTGGAACTTGTTTCCCCAAAGATACATGAGCCAACAGGTAGGGTACCTACTTGGAAGGCAAGAAGGAAGCTGCCCATACTGCTGTCCTTACCTGTCTGGCTTACTACAAGTCCTTCCTTGGAAGTATTTGCTTGACAAGCAGAAAGCCTCACACTCATGACAGGCAGGCCCGTCAGCCTCAGCTCTGCCAGCAGTTTGCTTTGTGTCATTCCCATCCCGCGCCACTTCCTCAGTCTCTATCCAGTTCCTTGTTTTACACCCTTCCTGGCTAAAGCCCAGGACCCTGGGGCAAAGCATGGGGAAAAGACCCTAGAAGACACTTGTTTGTGAGAGGATCACCCTGGGGGTGAGGGGACATCCAGGGTGCTCGGGCAGACAAGCTAATGAGGGCAAAAGAGTGTTGTCCAGGTCTCTAGACATCTGTCTCCAAGGCTCCTGAACCCTGCTATGCAGGCCTTGATCCTGGCTGAGTTTCTTTTGGAACCTTTTTATGAGGGGTGAGCTGTCACCAGGAATCGAACTCAGGACCTTGCTCTTGGCAGGCAGGTTCTGTGCCACTGAGCTATATCCCTGGCCCTGTGGGCTTCTCTTGACTGTTGGAAGCTTTGGAGGATGCTCTCTGATGTAGCTTTTGTGTCAAGGACTCTGGAGGAAGATCTACTCGCGGTGCACTTCTCAGAGTTCTCAAGGTGAAGCTTGAGCCAGGCCTAAGGACAGAGCTGGTGCTGTGTGCAGGCAGGTCACATGGCAGTCGTCCTGATGGTTGGGTCAAGAGGAGCTTTGGGGTCTGGGACCAGGATGGGTAGCCCCTTTCAAGAAGGGAGGGGCTGTGTGCAGCTGTGTTTGCTCTGCTGTCACCTGTGAGGAGGAGGGAGAGACCCTGGAGGGGAGGGCAGGGAGCATAATTGTGAGGTGCAAAGCTAGTTGCCCAGGGGTCCCTCCAGGCAGAGGCCGAGTGAGGTGCAGATGGGTGTCCTCTGTGTCACAGGCCCTTGAGGCCCAGGCAGACTCCCTTCGTAGCTGAGCCAAGCGTGAAACAGACAGCCTCTCTCTGCCTCTCTGTCCCCTCCCCCATGCTGCCCGAGTCTGGCTTCCATCACCCATTAATCGTTGACGCTTCCCCCAGCCTGCATCCCGCTATGCAAGAGGGCTGCATAGACAGCCAGCCAGATGGTCTCTTACTTGGGGAAACTCTGGGTCACATTGGGGATGTTCCCTATTCCAGGGCAGCCTCCCAGGCTTGGTAGAGGTCACTCCTCCTCCAGTCCAGCCATTAGCCGTCCTGTTCCCCAGGAAGGAAATGGGTTGGAGGGCTGAGGAATGCTAATGAGGCTTCTCCAGCTGGCAGGCTGGCTAGCCGGTGAGAACTGGCACCTCCATTCCCACTAGGGTTGGTGCCAACCCTGTCCGGCCTGGCCCGCTGGATACCCACCTGCTTCTGTGGGAACCCTGCTCTCGGGCTGCCTGGCAAAGCCCCTTTAGGATTCCCAGGCTCCAGGATTTCCTGTCGGCTCCCACCTCCACGCTCCCCCTCTTCTCCCTATTGTGACTTCTTGCTGGAGACAGGGCCATCATTCCCTGTTAGTTTTGGGGTACACCTCTTGGGGGCCTCACTGTCCGACTGTGAAATGGAATGATAATTTCACTTCTACTCCATTTCTTAGAGTTACCCTCTGCTTAGAGTAACTACTGTTCATTGGGTGTCTAGTATGATGCGCAGTTTCTTGGAAAAAAGTGTAAGGTGCCTTGGGAAGGGTGTCCAGCGTCATTGGGACTGATGTCACCATTTAGGAGCATAGCATCACTGAATTTGATGGCCAGATTTGCCTTCTGGGTTCTTTGCCCTTTTGTATATTCTATATTCTTCTATCTGCAGGGCACCAGACTCTCCCTGTTGATCTGGATTTCTTTTGCCTTCCAATAGGATTTGTTTATGTATTTATTTAGGTAGCATTGGAGACTGAACCCAGCACTTTTTTTTTTTTTTTTTTTTTTTTGTTTAATACAGAGTCTACAGGGTCTCACTAGTAGCGATTCTCCTGTTTTTAGCCTCCCAAGCACTGGGATCACAGGCATGTGCCACCAAGCCCATACTCGACTGCCAGCTCATCATGCCCTGGGGGGTGGGGCCAGCACGGCATGCCAGGGGTCGAACCCTCGCCATTGTGCTCTGCCTAAGCAGGAGCTTTAGTCCACTGAGCTGTCTGACCAGCCCTATGAACCCATCACTTTTGAGTGAGCTACGTCCCCACCCCCTTTTACAAATTTTTAAATTCTTTTTTTTTTTTTTTTTTTTGCAGAACCAGGGATTGAACTCAGACCCTTGGAATAATGGTTTTTTTTTTTTTTTTTTTTTTTTTTTTTTGTTCCTCGAATGCCTTCAGGGCACTTTTGGCCAGCGGGAGAGTTGTGAGGTTCGATCTCCAGCAACCTGAGGCTGACAGCTTTGTGGA